TGTCAGAGTTTGTAAGCGATGGCAAAATAACGCTAACTTGACACATAGAATGGACCTGCACCACACATATAAGCTAAATACTCCTTTCTGGACGCAATGCATCCATTTGACTGCACGATTTTTTCGAGGCTTTTCTCACTTGAAAAGACTTATTCCCAAAACTTCAATTGATTATTTGAGTTTCAATTTCGGCAAATCCAACAATGTGTTTAATTCATGAAAACCTTCTTTTACTGTGTTGTGACAGCGAAAAGAAATGTTTCCCACTCAATTTGCCTGTTTACTCAGCTGAGGCCTGTGAGGGCTTTCGCCAAATTATTTCTAGTTATTCCATAGCACAAATTCGAACTATTTTGGTACTAAAACCAATTTTTAGAAGAGTTTGATTGAGCGCTGTTAGAGCGAAGAGAAGATCACATTCCGCACTCGAAGTGGTTAGCTCGTCGCTTGAACATAGCGGGTTTGTTTGGCAGTGTGGAGCAATAAAAAGTTCATACCTATAGAACGATACATCGAATTAACTTCAACAGCTTCAATACAAAGCTTGAAAATTTCTTTCAGAGCTGAGACAAAATTTCTAAATAGGTAACAAAAAACGCGCTCCTTTCGAATGCCGCTGTACACAGCGATTTCATGTATCGCCGCGCGATATTCGTAATTCATTTACAGATTTGCTCTCCATACTGGACAGAATTTTGAGTTTTTCGTATTAAAACTCTAAGCGGGACTTTGTGCTTTTATAGTACGATTTCTTTTGGTTTTATACTGCTTAATAAAGCCGTTATGCTTTTTACGCTACGAGCTAACCACTTCAAGTGCGGAACGTATTCTTCTTATCGCTTCAACAACGCTCTAGATGAACTTCCTGAAAAAAATATTTTTGACATCAAAATTTCCGAGTTTTGCCACATCGTATAGTTGTCAACAACTGATCAAAAAGTCACCCACAAAACTCGGCCCAGTAAACTTCTATATAGTTATGTAAAATCCAAAATAAAATTATATTTTGCACGATCACATGTTTTTTTTTCCCCTATATTTCTTATATTTCGTTGGACGAAACTCCTTTCTTAGAGTTCTAGTACTTATTCGATAGCACAAGTTTCGAAGAACTCTAAAATGTATTTGCTTTTCGAAAAGCTCCTTTAATAGCGGAGTGGGAGAAAGAAAGTTCGTGCTTTACCTCATCGGGCAGAGCCCTTCTTTAGAATCTTAGTAGCCTTTCGACATTGTAAGTTCCAATGATTCCAACGTTGTACTTGTCTAGATATACAGTTTATGAGGGATGAGATTGACTTTAACACACGGAGCATGGAAAAATGGTGGGGCAGGGACGGAGCGACCGATCGCGTTTGAATCCTGTTTATTCAATTAGAGATCTTCTCACCGCATCGACAGATACTTCAGATAAAACCTTTTGAATCTGATATTACGAAAAGTTCTATACATGCTCAAAGCTTTTCGCGCTTCCAGCAAATCACACGCGTGATAAAGATGAAGGCTAAAGGCAAGTGTAAAACATACCTTTATTTTGGACATCACAGCGTTATAAAGGGATGCATTGAAGATTCGAGCACGTACTGCCTTAGCTACAGAACCAAGCTTTCGAATGATTACTAACACTCCTATGAGAATGTCTAGTACAACGAATGAGATTCGTTTTTATTTTTGTCGCCGTCTAATACATAAGTTCCAATTATAGCATGGATATAATGTTTTTATAATTTTTATAATTTCATTGAATTCTCCGTCCAGTTAGATTTAGACACTGTTTTTTACTGCTTATTTATCCATATAGTGCCGTTGTGCTAAAGTTGTAAAACGTAGTAGTTGAGTTACATGGCTGGAATGAAATTTCCGAACTTGCTAAAATTAAGTGGTTTCATGCCAGCAAATGTCTACAGAGACTTGAAACGTTTCAAAGAGGATGGAGAAGGGCCGTTTTATAAAAGGTTGCTCAACCACCTCGTCTATCCCGAAAAGCATTTAGAAGATTGGTTCCAAGTTCAACGGAATCCGGAGCCAGCGTTGCGCGAAGTGGTTCAGGAAGTTTGGAATCAGATGGTGGAACGCCTGAAACATGAGCATAAATAAGCTCGATTAGTCTTATCCACTTTCTGGCAGAAACCGAAAAGATAAACGGTTTTTAAAAGCTTGCGGGGTGATTCGTTTGGTAGCTGGTGCTCTTTGATGAAGATGCTGTCAACGAATGAGAAGACACTTAATTTTGAACCACCGAAAATGATGTCTTAATCTTTGGTCTTCATCAACAGAAATATCAAAATAAACGCTGCCAGTCATCAGTAGCAAGTTTTACGGGTGTACAGGAGCCTTGGATTATTCAACACTGTGGAGCCGACAGTTTCACACTTTAGCATGACTGAGCTCCTGTGCGTTCGGCCCGCTCGACGGTTGCCATTTGTCAAGAGCTGTTTCCAGGTTCCAGAGCAAGGACATTTGGCTGTCAAATTCGCCGGATCCAAGTTTAAACGGGGCGCTCCGTTTGGTCCATACTGAAGAAAAGAAGAAATCTCGGTCACTCTTTGTACTACTACAAACGTGCTGACTATTTTGGGAAGAAAGCTCTAGGGCACTTCTATAAGCATGAAATGACTTCGTTGCACATCGTGGAAAATTGCAGTCTCCTATGCCTGAATGCCTAGATATTATTCATGTCTCGTTTTTACTTTACTAAAAGCCTCCGCCTTGTCCAACGACACTATCAAAGATCGTGTTTTATTGCGTCATTATTGGGGAAAGGGTCTTCCACAGCGAGCTGCACTTGATGAAATCAACGAGGTCGATGGAGAAGACACAACAAACAAATCTGCTGCTTGACGCTGGTTTCAGCGCTTAATGTCGGAGACCTTAATTTTGACGACAAGCCTCGTGCAGGACGTTTAACAACGTTGAACAACAAACATTTGATTGCTGCTTTAAAACACGAACCGTCTTCAAGTGTTTGCGAATTGACAACCCTCATTTGATGGTTCCTATACAATTGTGCTAAGTCATCTCCGCCAGAATGACTTTTTCCACAAGAAGCCACAACGAGATCCTGTTCTGTTTCCGTTTAGAATTCATGCATATATTTTTCATCACTCAAAAGTCTCCCCGAACTCTCCTTCCAATCTAATAAAACGGCTTTGATTGGCGTCTGAGATAAAATTGCGATGAAAATGTTGTGCGAGCATCGCTGGAAAATTTCGCAAGCGACTTTTCAATGCACAGAAGCCAAAGGAGGCAGCGACCCAATAGGGAATTGACCCTTTTCGCAAGACACGAGTTTTCGTAAGATGTTAGTAATCATTCAAAAGCAATATTTCTGTCTACTGCGCTAAATTCTTTTTTAAAGAAGACCATTGCATTACGCTGTAGCGTTCAAAATAAAATTATGCTTTACACCGGCCGCGCGTTTTCACTGCTAGTTCGTTGGACATACGAAAGCATATGACAGTGTAGAGGCAATCAGGTAGCTTTAGACCGATACGTTTTGTCTGAAGTTTCTTTCAAAGCGGAGAAAAAAATTGGGAACTAAATAACAATCGACATCTCGAAAGGTCAACGCAATCGATCGAGCGACGTTTGGAATAGACGGCTAGCATCCCCTCATCCCCTCTCTGCCTATGCCTAGCGTATGCTTCAGTCGAAAAACAACGCTCGCGTATGCGAAACTCAATCTTATTTTTCCCCATACACAGCAGTGAAACGATCTTTTCAAAAAGTAAGCACACCACTGTAATCATCGAAACTCAAAATATCGAATGGCCACTTATAAGCTGAGGAAAAAGAACTGTCGTTTGAGGAATGTGGGCGTGTAGAACAAAAACGTTATCTTATAACTACAGCATTATTAAGATGCGTCTTCAAAAACTCTACTTTATATATATATGCATATATATATATATATATATATATCACCTATATCACCTGTCGTCCCGTTGATCGTCGAGTGACTTGAGCGGGTGCCAGCAACACTTCCATTTTTCCCCATCGCGTGCAAGAGTAGCCCAGTGGGCCCTCTTCGCTCTAGAGATTCGCTGAACATCATGTCTTTCTTCTATAGCTTTTGTGAGGAAATCGGACCAACGGATCGGTGTTCTTCTTAGAGCGCTTGATGTATGTCCTGAGCAATCCAGTTGGTAACGGCTCTCGCTTATCGGTTCTCGTTGAAGCGCATCACGTGTCCGGCCCACCTTATTTTCAAAATCCTGGTGTATAGAACGGCGTCTGTGATTTCCGATCGCTGACGTGGGTCAGAACATCGGATCCTTTCTCTCATTTGCGAGATACGGGATACTCCTAGCATCGACCTTTCGACTGCGCGTTCACTAACGCCAAGTGATCTTTCATCCTGCTTACGTAGCGACCAGGTTTCTGCTGCACACGTGAGGGCAAGAATAATCGTCGAGTCGAAAAGATGGGCGCGCAGTCGGACGATCTCTATCCTCTTCACTACATCTCCGACGCTCTTAAACGTTCTCCAAGCTGCTCGTTTCCTCCTGCTTAACTCTGGAGCTAGGTCGTTCATCATGTTGATTTCACGATCTAAAGCTAGGTAGTACGGGAAAAAATGGTTGAGAGACCCATATTTTACTTCCAACCAAAAACTCTTCTCCTAATCTTGCTATAAGGTTAATTAAGAGCCCACGACATTCAGGGTGGTAGTCACCAAGCTTTTCTGATTCTTAATATTCTGCAAAATCAAGAAATCACATAAAGTTCTTACGACTTTGATGAAAATATGAATGTATAATGAGCAGACTTGTTTCTAAAAATCTAGAAGATCATGGAACTTTGTTCTAATTTCAACTAATATAATCAGTTTAGATCGTATTTAACGAAAGTGTCGTGAAATTGTAGATGATTTCATGTTTTGCGATCTGAGCAATCCACCAAAACATAATGTTTAATATGGAAACACTCAAAAACCGTCCCGTTCTCTATAATTAATCCGCAATGGATTGTCGAAAAATTTCATTTACAATGGTAAAATGTCTCTCCTCATAGGGGGTTTGAACCCTGACAGTTAGATTAAAAGTCTAAGCTCTACCAGCTGAGCTAACGAGGCTCATAGTTCGTAGTGCAAGTAAACTATTAATAACACATGAAGCGTTCATAATGTTCTGTCTTGTTAACATCTATCGTCTATCAAGGCTATGCATAATCGAATTTCTGTACTCTTCGACAGCTCTGCAACGCCATGAACTGTCTTTTCATGTAGGGGTGACCGAAATTGGAGGCCAATATTTGTAGGCCTTCTCAACTGTTATCTGATAAGATGATCGAACCGAATTCCCTTTTATCCAACCGCACGTAGCGGTGATATGACGTTATAAATATACCTACTGATGTAGAGTGATGAGCTAAATTGCGTCAGCTGGGACTCGAACTCACATTTCACCATATCGGAGGGCGCTTGCTCGAACCGTTGCACTACCGACGCTGTTTTGACAATATTATATTTGTCTACAGTATTTATTTTTTCCACATTGTACAAGTGAGTCACTGGTGTAGGCTGTTATCCGTAATCGAAGTGTTCTCTACGTTTTTTCACTGTCGTCTCAGTCCATATGACAGATCATCACATAAGTTCAATCCTGCTTATTGCAGGAGCAAATAAAGTTGATCAAATATCCACACACTTGGAGTTATTTTGTTCCTCAAATTATTGGAATATTGAAGTTGTGCAACGATGGAGGATGTCATACGGTATGTGAGAGCACATCGGAGAACTGTCAACTTATGGTCGCATTGACGTCGAGCTATTCGTTTCAAGGGCTCAATGAGAAACAAATACTTCTTCTATGCTTCTGGGGTCCTCGTGAAGAATTATCATTATTCGTCCAGTGCTTTTTCTGCTGTACGTTTGACAACGCGAGAAATTCAGTCACTAATGGTCCCTGTAGATTGGTTGCCGTTCAGACGTGTTATGAGTCCAGCTAACTTGATTTTTGACGAGTACACGACGTTTCTGATCATTTGTCATATCCGACACACAGCACCATGGCTTGACTTGACTGAGAAGTTGACTCAGATTCCGTCGATTGTGGACTAGATCGACTGTGAATATCTTCTCATACGTAGAGAGCACCTTCATCAAAGAGACCCAACTACCAAACGAATCATTCGGCAAGCCTTTGAAAACCGTTTATCTCTTCGGTTTTTGACCAGAAAGTGGATACGACTGATCGAGCCTATTTTTGCCCATGTATCAGACGACCCACTCTCTGATCCCAAACTTCCCAAGCCACTTTGCGCAACGAAGGCTCCGGATTTCGTTGAATTTTGCAGGCAATCTTCTGAATGTTTTTCGCAGAAAGGTGAGTAATCAACTCTGTCGAGAGCGGTGCCTGATCCCTCCAGTCTTTTTAGACGTTTTAAGGCTACGTGGACAATTTTTTGGCATGAAACCACTCATTTTAAGCAAAGTCGAAAATTTTCATTCTCGTCATGTGACTCAACTACTGCGATGCGATCGGATTTACGAATCATAACTTTAGCACAACTGGAACTGTATGGATAAATAAACAGTAAAAAAGACAGTATCTGAATCAAAATTGAACGGAGAATTCAATAAAATTATAAGAATCAATAAAAGACAGTGTATCCATGCTATAAACGGAACATATGTATTAGATGGCGACAATACTAAAAGCGAATCTCATTCGCTAAAGAGGACATTTTCGTAGGAGTGTTAGTAATATTTTCAATGCATTCTTTTATAACGCTGTAATATTTTGAAAAAAAAATATGTTTTACACTTGACTTTTGCCTTCATTTTTATTACGCGTGTGATTTGCTGGAAGCGCGAAAAGCTTTGAGCGTGTACAGAACTTTTCGTCGTGTGAGATCCAAAGATATGTAGTTTTTATCTAAAGTTTCTGTCGATGCAGTGAGAAGATCTCTAATTTAATAAACAGGAATCAAACGCGATCGATCGCTCCGTCCCTGCGCCACCATTCTCCCATGCACCGTGGATTAGGCGGTACACGATGCCGTCGAAAATGTTAAAGTCAACTCTTTTCTGGTAAACTGTATCCAGAAAACAAGTACAACGTTGAAATCATTAGAACTTACGATGTCGATAGGCTATTAAGAATCCAAAGAAAGAGCTCTGTCCGACGAGGTAAAGCACGAACATTTCTTTCTCCCACTCTGCTATCAAAGGAGCTTTTCAAAAAGCAAACACATTTTTGAGATGTTCGAAACTTGTGCTATCGAATGAGTACTAGAACTCTAAGAAAGGACTTTTGTCCAGCGAAGTATAAGGGAGATAGGGAAAGAAAAAACATGTGATCATGTAAAATAAAATTTTATTTTGGATTTTGCACCGCTATATGAAAGAAATCATAAGAATTATTGCGTGGTGGTAGCTAAAATAATATGAAATTTCACACTTAGTTTGCTTTGTCAACTGGGTCGAGGTTTGTGGGCGGCTTTTCGACGAGTTATTGACAATTATTCGATATCGCAAAACTCGAAAATTTCGATGTGAAAATCAATTTTTTGAAAGTTCACGTAGAGCGCTGTCGAAACGATAAGAAGAATGCGTTCCGCACTTGAAGTGGTTAGCTCGTAGCGTAAACAGCATAGCGGCTTCAATAAGCAGTATGAAACAAGGAAAATTCGTACCCATAAAACACACAAAGTCTCTCTTAGAATTTTGATACGAAAAAGTCAAAATTTCGTATAAACGGACAGCAAATTTGCAAATAAATAACGAATATCGCTCGGCAATATATGAAATCGCTGTGGGCAGCGTCATTTGAAAGGCGTGCGATTTTTGTTACTTATTTAGAAATTTTGTCTTATCTCCGAAAGAAATCTTCAAGTTTTGTATTGAGGCTGTAAAAGTCAATTCGATGTATAGTTCTTTAGGCATAAACATTTTATCGCGCCACACTGCCAAACAAACCCGCTATGTTCAAACGACGAGCTAACCACTTCGAGTGTGGAATGTGATCATCTTTTCGCTCTAACAGTGCTCTATTAAACTTTTCTAAAAAATGATTTTAGTGCCTTAATTGTTCAAATTTGTGCTGTCGAATTAACTAGAAAAATTTTGGTGAAAGCCCCCACAGGTCTCCGCTGGGTAGGCTGGCAAATTGAGTGTGAAGCATTTCTTTTCGCTGCCACAACGTAATAAGAGAAGACTTTCATGAATCAAACACATTATTGGATTTGCCGAGATTGAAAATTTCAAATAATCAATTGAAGTTTTGGGAATAAGTCTTTCAAGTGAGAAACGCCTCAAAAAAATCGTGGCAGTCGAATGGATATACTGTGTTCAGAAAGGAGTATTTAGCTTATATGTGTGGTGCAGGTCCAACCTATGTGTCAAGTTAGCGTTATTCTGCCATCGCCTACAAAATCTGAGACTTAGATTCGACCTCAAACTGATAAAATTCTTAGTGATAAGATGAGAAGACGAGCGTAGACCCGGTTATTTATTGCTAGGCACTTCTGATCACTGCACCACTCATGTCTTTCAAAGTCATTCCTACAAGATTTGTTCTACAATTGCCAACGTTTCAGCTGATTCACCCCTTCAGGTTATGTAAAATCTAACTGTTATCAATCCGTTGTCGGCCCATGGAACACACAGAAGTTACCACCATTCAGCTGACAAAACAAAACACTTTTTCTTTCTTGTCCGAAATAAGGGAGAGTTTTCAAACATAAACGTTGAGTCCTTGGCTTCTCAATGAAAGAGAAGCCACCTCGTTAACTTATTCGAACTAAATTAGTAGCTTACAGATCAGTCGTATCGAGGAGATGTTGGATATGAACAATGCGATCAAACAACGCATTGAGAGAAAAATCGCACATCTTCTACCAGGAATGCATCGTCGGAAAAGTAATCGTATTTTCACCGCTATCATCGTGAATTTTGTTAAAGAGATGCATTACTATGCAGCAAAAATAGGTGATGCATTATGGATCCATTTGAGTAAAAAGAAACGAACGCCAATTGAAGCCACTCGTCAAGTTGAAGAACGGGTTCGTCATGCAGTCCATAAGGCTACTCTTTTACAACATCATTTAATGCAATAGCCCCTAAAATTTTCAATGAATTTGTTACTAAGGATTGCTGATGGTTGTCTTTTGTTCTAGAAAAAAAATGGCAAATGCTGCAACACCACGATATAAGTGAAAATAGAATGACTAGCTCACGTATATATTGAAGAAAATTACCTTTTCATACAGGATCAGACATGATTGAGACTAACGACTCATGTGAGGATATGGAAACTTACAAATGAGCCAATTTAAGGGTTTCATATTACACATTGAATTTCTGGCTAGAACACATCATCACTAAATGTATCAAAGATTTCGATACCGTGATAATTTCTTTAATCCATGCATGTGGTCTGTCATGAGCACTTGTACAACCCGATGCACGTGTTTCGGTCTTGCCAGCTTCGCCAATCGGGCAGGTCTTTCGTCTTTTAGCCAGTCCTCTTGGCCGAAACCCTAGCCCTGCATTGAGAAGGCACAAACGTAGTATTTACATGTTCCATTGAGTGAGATTATCACTAAATGGTCAGTGATGTACACTCGAATGCTCTTACTGGTATCGTCAAAAAAAGTTTAACTTACGAGTGTTTTCTTAAGATGACGCTGAAAATTTAGTATACCTGATAAACAGTAAGGAATTAATAATTATCATGCATATTGAAATTTGAGCTTTCAAGAAAACACTCGAAACAAAGAATTAAAATATCATTAAACATTAGCAAATCCATTTCTTCATTATACCGCAGTCAAACCCTATTTAATTGGTGAACCACTAGCCTGATCAAAGGGTCGAACTCCTGATGCGAAGCTTCAAGCTTCGACTCTTCGCAAAGTCGGAAATTTTGCAATATCTGTGACGGGCTCATTCCGGTTTGTGAACATGCTAACAGTACTACTTCGCAAAAGTGGAGCAGTTGGAACACCGCTGAAGGTCCTGTGGCGTAATAAACAAGGCGACAATTTCATCAAGCAAAAACTAAAAGTTGAAGCGATTGCTGGGTAAAGAATTCTGAAGCACCTGGTGACACAGCACTCCATTCTTGTTTA